TGGTCCGCTGTTGACATTTCCAGCTTGGTGTCCAGCACCTTAAGATATTCGACCAAACCTTCCCAGTAAAGCATGTGTCTCTGTCAGAGACAATTGACTCCGGGAGTTCATGTTGTCGCAAATCACGATACACAAACAGCGTTGTTGTACCCACACCGTCTATGGTGTCCGGCACCACCGCCAGATGAACCGCCTTGCTCAAATGGTTGACGAAGACCACTACACCTGAGTTGCCCGCCGAGTTCTCGGGACGTCAAACACAAAGTCTAAGCTCATGGACTTCCAACTGCCGGAGGGAACCGACAAACTGGCAAGCGGCGCCACCGCATTTGGAGAGGGTTCCACTCTTTGACACATCTCACACGTGCGGGCATAGATGCGCGTCAATTTTGACAACTTGGGCCACCGGTTGTGGCAACTCGCAGAGCTGTAGGTCTTTCACGACCATAACGAGCATTGATTGGCGTGTCCTCGTTGAGAATACGGTACTTCAGATCATCATCGAGAGGAACCACAATTTGTGGTGTATCCGTCGAGTCGGTGTTATAATACAGCAGCCCGTTATGCATTAGATACCAATGCAACCGTGCACGCAGCCGCGACAACCAATTTTTGATCGAGTTTCCAGACTCCTTGCTCCCGAGAGCCTGTAGCTGCGCTTTATCACCCACGTACGCGGCGCGGATCAAATTCATCACAGATGACGTCACTTTCGTGACCTGAGCAAGTTCATAATCTGGTCTGCGTGACAACGCATCAGCCAAAGCATTCTGCTTTCCTGGCTAATACCTCACCTTGGAGTCGTATTCTACGAATAAGGAGAGCCATCTGGCCATCCTCTGCGAGAGGTAAAACGACTGAGTCGGTGTGCGAAGTTACGCATGATCTGTGACGATCACATACGACTTGGAGCCGAGCAGGTGCACCCTGAAGTTGACAAGTGCATACTTCATCGCAAGTAATTTCTCGTCGCGGACTGGGTAGTTCTTCTCTGCAGCCTTAAGCTGACGAGATCCAAACGCGATCACCCGATCTCGCACCTCAGCGTTTGCCTGTAGTAGTACATAGTCAATGGCAAAGTCCGAAGCGTCACACAGGACACTAAAATGATGATCGGGGTCTGGCAAAGCCAGTATTGGTGCATAAAGGAGGCTGTCTATGATTCAGTGAAAAGCACCCCGCTGCTCGGTGACCCAGCACCGTTCCGCATCCTTCTTTTGGAGATTCGACAATAGTCGTGACATTTCCGCATAATTCTTGCTGTACTTTGGAAGCCGCTGGCAAGGCCAAGCCATCTGCGCAAATCCTTTTGATTCTTGGAGCCAGCCAGTCCACAATGGCCTTGACCTTAGCGGGATTCGCTAAAAGGCCACGTTTCCCAATGAAGCAAACTAAAGAGGTAATATCTTCCGTGCAGCAAATGCACTTATCTGCATCAGCATACAGCTTATTCGTGTGCATGCACTCGAGCCCCGCACTAAATGTTGCTAGTGCAATTGCAAGCCCTTAAGGCATCACGAGCCACTTCCAGAACATTCCGCTCGGAATGCTCACCGCTGTCAGCGGAATATCACTCGCCCCCATGAGCAATTGGTAATTCCATCGACCAAGTCGGGAGCACTGTACTTTGTACCATATTGTTCTGAAACATCCTTCCTAGGAATCGGCGTCTGTGCCGGTATGTTGGCAGCGTTAAGCTTATTATAAGCGTGAACGATAAGCCGCTTGCAATTTGGCTTCCGGACACAAAAGGTGGGTGTCGATTAGGGAGACTTGCTCTTACGCACCATTCTTGCGTCGTGCTTGCACAAACAATAGCGTCAACGACGCCGCACTGCTCTTTCTTTTGGGACCATTAGCGTTTTACGCAATGATTGGTTCCTGGAACCAGGTTGATCTCATGACGCTCACCTCGGTCCGTAGGTAGGACCGATGGCGGATCTCTGGAGACGACGACTTAAAATTCGTACACTAGAGGATAGTACGGATCTAAATGCTTCTTCAGGATTGAAGATTCAATTTGGGCGCTCAGCACCCTCTTGGTGTCTTCTAGTTGATCCCCTCTCGGTCGTATAATGGCCACTTCGGCTAAGTCGCATACCTTCAAGGAATCGCCGAACTCTTCAAAGAACAGCTTGACGAGCTCAGGAAGAGCATCCACCGCAAGAACAGCTTCGAGGATGATGTCGCCGTCCTCCTCCCTCGTCATACCGATGACACAGGTGCGCTCCCATCAACGGTAGACACATCCTATGTCAGGGCCGCAACCGGCGTTTTGCAACTAGCATACGGCATCGCCATCGCCTCTCCACAAAGGTTGTACGCCTCGGCGAGACTAGTGAGAACACGCACTAAACGTCGTTCAGTGTTAGCCCACTTCCTGCTCCACCGTAGCCCTGATGTTATGTAACAAAATTCGACAGAGAGCTGCTAGTTCTGCAATATTCGTTCAGTGGACAACGTTTCATTCCACGCGCATCACAAGGGCTTTGCCCTTGATGCCCAGACCTCGTCCGACCATTCTACGCTTGTCATGCAGCAACAGCTTCGTAACGTGGGCAGTGCTCAGTGGGTTAAGTGCCAATCCACATTCAGCCCGCGAGCCATGCTCGGGACTCTTGTCCAATACACCTTCGGTGTTTGACAACTCGGATACTCCGATATCCAGCACATTGATCGTTCCGGTCTAGTGCTCGCACCAATAGCGTTTTTGCTTCCTAGAAAAAGTGGGTTCATGACTCAAATGTCACCAGGAGACGTACACGTAGCGCCCAAGGTCTTCGACCCTCAGTCGAACCATTGCTCATGGAATTGCAACCATGCCATACCAATAATAATGTCATAACTTGCATCCAAGTCTAAGACTAAGCAGCGTTCCACGCTATCAAAGTCGAAAAAATTGACATCGAGGTCCACAGAGGCCTTTGGCACCGTGACACGTGTCTCCGTCGCTAAAGACGATGTCTCTGAACCGCGTTTTCAGCACCTCAGCATACAGCTGACTTCCTTCCATCGTGGAGCGTCGAGCATCATTGCCGAACGCCCCAAAGTCGAGCAGAATCTTCCATGGCTTCACGAAGCCTTTCACGGTCACTTCCACGACCAGCATGTCCAGCTCGCGTATACGCTCCGTGTTCAAGTGCATGGGGCTCCTCGGGGCTGGTCCCCGCTGACCCCTACCTTAACGCTTCCCGGAGCTCAGTTCTCCCCAGTAGGCTAACCCGCGGCTTTTGGGTGTTGTCGCTTTTTCGCAACAAACCAGACTAGTGAGAAGCGCGACGTCGATTCGATGAACCTTGAGGCGCCTTGCACAGGGGACAACCAATCCGAAGGTGGCGTTTGACTCCACAGACAAAACACCGCCGGGTATTCGAACGCTGCTCGGCAGATCGGATCTCTGCCTCCATGTCATCAGCATAGCTGAGATCCATCGGCTCAGGCACGCTCAACAAGCTCTGAAGGTGTGCATTCCAACCAAGTCGTGCCGACATCAAGTTGAAATCGGCTTTCAATGCCACATTCAATGCTTCTTCAGAAGAAGACGGGTCTACACGGAAGACTTCAATTCTGATCACGCCAGTGCGAAGGCTCCCCAAAAAGACGGACACTGTGACCGCCTTGGGCTGCTTTCCCGGCAATGAGTGTACGCAACTTACCACCAACGTTTGCTTGCCCAGTCGGGCGGCAAGGAAACGCGTTAGCACACAATTTGCGTCTCTGGACGGCGACAACACTCGTAAAAGCTGCAGTCCAGGAGGGAAACGCCGGTGCGAACAAAGTGCCGCACATCACTGCCCATTCTCGCACTTGAACCCGGGCTTGAAGATAGTTAGTGCCACCGGCTCCTGCTCAGTCTCGAACATGGAGGGTGCCATGGTCATCTCGACCTCTCTCACCCGGAGCAGAGATTCTCTCCATCCTTCACTCAAAAGTCTTAACACTCACCATGAGCGCCTCGGGTCATCCATCGCCGACGGTGGCGTCATGAACGCGGTCGACGTCGATATCATCTGCTGCAGGTGCTCTAAAAGAGCATTTTTACAGCTTGAATCGCCTCTAGGTGTGCTCTGCTCGCTTCAAGCTCTTGTGAGGCTAGAAATTAGACGCCCGCAGGGCCAAACTGACAAATCAGCTCTTTAAGCTCGTCCTGTATGCCGTGGCGTGAAAAGAAGAACTACTTTTTTGTCACCGAGAGTCAGTTGTAACGACTCAGGTGTAAATTGTACAGCAAGTAATTTATAACCGCAACGGAGCCGCCGTAGCTCTTTCGCTTAGAGAAAGCTAAGTTTAGGTCAGCGACATTCGTTCTATACTTAAAATCAATACGAGTGTAGCGAATCGCAGTCCACTTACTTCAAGAGTAACACTCTTAGAGTAAGGGGACTGCGAACCGCTATTTGGCTGGTTTGTCTAAATTAACAACTGTATTCCTCGGTTCTAACTGAGATAAAACCGCCTATATCTAACTCTATAGGTTTTTCTATCTTTATAGCAAGGCCTAATTAAATATATAACTACTGGCTGTTCCAGCCACATACTGATTTGCTGTTTGAGTGTAGCCACACCATTATGTGGTCATACCATCTTCTATGACCCCGAGCAAATATAAGTCGACTACGGCTACAAATCATCACATCGGTGTGAACTAACTCCAACACACGTGATGTCTTGCACGTCGATCGTGATGGGAATGATGTCACGGTCTGCTTCTTCTTCATGCATCCACCACACAAAGGCTTATTGTCACAAATCACAGCTAGCTTACCGTTTGGCATGCTGAGTTTGAGCCATAATGCTCTCGCTTGGATGTCCCATGCGAGCGTGCCAGAGCTCCCACTAGTCGTCAACCTGCATTCTCCATGAACACAGCTTCTTTTTACCCGCAGTCAAGCACATAGGACTTACTGGCCTTTTTGTCCAGTGCCACAAGCTGACACATGAGGAATGCAGAAACGCATCGCGTTAACCGCATTATTTTTCCCAACCGACACATCCAACATTTATGATGCGCTTGCCATTAATCCTAGTTCCTCTACCCGAGACTCGCAATTGCTTTCTCGAGAAGGCATCTGTTTAAATTAAAATAGTTAAAATTCCTTTGTAGCGATGAAGCCAGTCGACCACCCCAACTAAGTTAAACAGCAATAATGCACGATGTTGAAAGAGGAAACCATCTCTAGGACAGCCTTCAATACCATATCTAGCACATTTAGACTTCGCTCATTGTTTTTTGTGCACAGGAACATTTTTAGTTTTTTTTCTTTTCGAGATTTTGTTTTTTAGATTACCGTACTTCACAAAATAAAAGCCTCTCAAAATGATCACCTTTTTCTGATTTTCGTTCACCTCTTAACATTAAGGTGATTTTTGTTTG